CAAGCTCAGTTTTCCCTAACTGCCTCAATAACATCTTTTTATAGCTGGTTTGTTCAACCAGGAATCCAAATTTGACCACATTCTATATTTTGCCACTAGGTCTCCTAGGTCCCTTTATACCTGTAACAAGTTCCCCTCAATTTTTTTTCACCCACCACTGACATACACTTATTTCTAATTGGTCAAGCAAACCTTACCAAGTATAATACCTCTTCAGCGTCCACATGCTGCGAGCACACCCAGACATGCACAGGCCTTTAAGCCCCTTAGGCACAGATTTATAGAGCTCCACCCTCCACGTGCAGTCCACCACTGGGACCACTATACCAGGCAATCCACACACTTGCTGCTCTCAAGAGGAGGAAGTTAGATTGCTTCAGCAAGCTAATTCTCTAAAATTAAATCTTTCCTATGTTGTGATGGCCCGAAGACTCAGAATGATTTAAAGAAACAAGGCATCCATTCATTACGGCTTCTTTTTGAAGTTACCCAAATTTAATCAACAATCACAAAGTAAATCAGACAAGCCTTCTAATCCATTATTGTCACCAGTAACAACATTAATTGAACACCTAGATCATGTAGGACATTGGGTTATAAAAAGGATGACCCGTGTCCCTGCCCAAAGCCCCTTATAGCCTAAATGGTTATCACATCATTTAGACAAACATGCTCAAGGATGACAACAGGCATAGAGCAACTCAAACCAACACCATGCCCCTTCATCAGGTTAACACTGCTTGTGAGGTCCCTGGGGTGGAGTAAGATGAACAAGAGTGGGAAGGACAGAGTTTGGTGGCTAGTTCTACCATGCATGAGTGCCGCATGGGACAAGTTACTTAAACTCTGACTCCTAGTTTCATCATTTGTGAAAGAATAACCCCACCTACCTCACCAAGCAGCAGCTGTTAACACCGAATCACAAAATCTTATATGAAAGCCTAGCAATGATGATGATGATTAAAATAATAATAATAAAATCATTGAATACTCATTATGCTGGGCACTGGGCTAAAATGTTTTATGTGTACTATCTCATCTATTCCTCCATCAATCCTATGAGTCATCTCCTATTCTCATGTCATTTTCCAGATGAAGAAATTGGACAGAGTAAGTGAGAAATCTGCCCAAGCTGACACAGCTAAAGGCAGGAAGTGGGTCACAGGGCCTCAGGGTTCCTGCTGTCAATCATGGCAGGATAATGTCTCCCAAACACCACCAGTGAGGTGTAAAGGTGGGATGCAGGACAGCATAAACTATTGGTGGGGACAGGCCCTCCTTTTCAACTAGAGCAATTATACTGTAAGGTCATAAGATACAGCACGCCACAGCCCACACTGGTACTCAAACAGGAAGCCCCAGGAGGATCCTAGAATTGCCCTATTCAAGGCACGGGTATGTTCAGAGCCATAATGGTGGTTTACTTCTTAACTGGGGCAAGTCTTCAGCGAACTGCTGAAGAGTATTTAAGGCCATCTTTATTACAAGTCTCAAAAACCCAATATTTGTTGAAACAGGGCCAAAGTAAAATCATAATAATGTTTACCTATATAATCTCTTACTTCCTTTTTGTATGTATACAAAAAAGACTGAAGGAAGCTAGCCGCCAGGAAAGAGGTCCAACTGCCTGCAGCCACGGTGCTTTGAGAAGTCCACCCTAGCTAAGTGTTTCTTACATACAAGGCTTAGCACTAAATCTTTTAATTTAACCTTCACAAAAGCCTTTGTGGACCATTATGCCCATTTTACAGATGAGGTCACTGAGGTTCAGAGTGGAACAGGATTTCACCCTCTGGCCATCTGATTCCAGAACCCATGCTCCCAACCATCACCTTCAGTGCCCCTTCGAGTACCACTCTACTTTTAAAAAGTTGCCTCCCTCTAGAAGAGAAAATGTGCAGAAACAGTTTAAAACTAAAAATAAACACCAACTCTTATAATTCGGAAACTTGTAGATGGAAAAGGGACGAGCAGAGTGAGACTTCCATTAATGTTAGCTATTTTGGTCATTTGTACAGGTCCCTTCACCAGAGAGGACCCCAGAATTATCTGTTGACAAGTCTGCTCTCCCCCTGGACAGCCAGCTCCCTGAGCACCCTCCCGCATTCTGGTTCATCTGTGTAGATCCAGAACAACTAGGTGCTCAAGAAACCTTTGATGAATGGAGAGGAAACCTTCATTCCCACAAAAGCGAACTCGCACTTCCAGGACATCCCCCCAGCCATCAGTCCTTACAGGGATTCCAAAGGAAAGGAGGGGGCAGGCAGGGGCAAGTGAAGGAGACCCATCCCAGGAATATGGGTGCCAGTGATCAACTGAGGACCAGAGACGGAGCTGGGCGTGTGCCAAGGACGCGGGGAGGTCTGCGGGGTCCCGGGGCCGGCGGCGCGGAGCGCAGGACACCCCCACTCCGTTCCGCAAGGTCCCGGGGCGCAAGCAGAGGCCCTGGGGAAGCCCCCCGCGCCCCCAAGGAGGCCGTCT